TAAGATGAACCAAAATGTTTTGTTTGGTATAGCGACTCCACAGATCCCTATATGGGCGAAAGATCCTCCAGATAACTCTCAGCAACCCAAAGCTGGCCGTTCTCAGCACTTGAGGGAATGGACGGAACGTGAGCCACCTCCACATATTGTTTCTTCAACGAGGAGAGAGAGTTCAGCGACCCACAGACCAACGAGGAGAGAGAGTTCAGCCTCTCACAGAGGCAGAGGGGGTTTCACGATGCGCAGAGGCAGAAACGATAATGGTGGAGGGCCTCCCGATGACGAAGGCGATGATGGCGAAAGTGGCAATGGCGACGGCGACGGCGATAGACATCGTGGACGACAACATCGGGGAAGGAGAGCTTCGTCGAGCACAACTGCTTCCTCCAGACGAGGCAGAAGAGGTGGCGGGGATCCCCCTTCAGAGCCTAGCGGCGGCGATGAATCAAGCTCAGGATCGGAGTACAACCACACGAGTCATGGAACAGAGAGTCAATGAAGTCGGAAGCGCTGAAGCAGCACCATCCCATACGGACAGATCAAACCTACAATCAAATCGGAAATAAAACAAGAGTTACTTCCACGATGGGATGGCTCGCCAAACACTGCAGTGGATTATTTCCTGAAAATTCAGCAACTAGCTGCTCTTGAAGGAGATTTACCAGAAGCTTTAGGTTACTGGCTCTGGATGAACTTAGAGGAAGGATCAGATATCAAGAACTGGTTCGCTACGCTCACGTTTTCGGAACAATCTCATATGCGCTCTCATTACATTAACTATTTGAGAGGTATTAAAGACGGTTACCTGGGAGAATCCTGGCAGTTTAAGATCAACAGGATTTATGAAGGGCAATACTTCCGACAAGTAGGACATGAGAAAGAACTCCCTAAGACGTTCATCATCCGTCGTATAATGTATACAAGGATGCTTACCTCTGCAGAACCAGGAGGAGCCTTGGAAATAAGCCTTATCATGCGGAAAGCCCCACTACAGTGGAAGACCATCTTGGTGATGCCTAGTATCAAGTCAACGAAGGCTCTGTACACGAAAGTTGTAGATTACGAAGATGACTTACTAGAAGCTTGGAGAAGGAAATCAGCAGCCGCTTCGATGGTAACAGTCAATACTTTCCATTCCTCCACTGATTCCTACCGGAATCCGCGGAATCCCTAGATTCCGGCTGGAATCCTGGAATTCCGGTAGGATTCCTGGAATTCCTGGAATTCCGGCCGGAATCGACAGGAATCCAACTGGAATCAACAGAACACTAGGACTTCTGGTTAATTAATTTTGGACCCTGAATCTCCTTCTTTAGGTCAGACAAATAGAATTGTAGCACTAAATCTTTTACTAAACAAGGGCATAAGGCATCCGACTAGTTACTTACTACTACATGGATTTATTTATTTCAATCAGATTCAGAGACATTAGATTCTGCATGTTGTTCATCCAAACCCAAGTCTATGTGACTTCATGCCTATCATATTTATTGTAAGTCTAATGTAGTCAGCCAATTTATTATTATATCTTGTCCTATAATAACCTCACAAGTTTCTTCTTAGAACAGTTATATAGATTCAAATTCTAATATATTGAAGTGGTACACAAAGATTATTTTACTGTATTCTAAGTTAAAGGAAGGGGGGGAGGAGGGGGGCAGAAATAAATGGGGGTGGAGGAAGGAAGGGATGGGCAGGGAAGGGGGAGGGAAAAGGTAGGGGGAAGGGTGTAGGGACAGGGAAAAGGAAGGGGGAAGGGTGTAGGGACAGGGAAAAGGAAGGGGGAAGGGTGTAGGGACAGGGAAAAGGAAGGGGGAAGTGTGTAGGGACAGGGAAAAGGAAGGGGGAAGGGTGTAGGGACAGGGAAAAGGAAGGGGGAAGGGTGTAGGGACAGGGAAGGGAAGGGGGAAGGGTGATAGGGAAAAGGAAGGGAGTAGGGACAGG